TTTACATGGCAGAGAAAGTCAATAAAAAAAAAAAAAAAAAGTCAACTGGGCCAATGAGCAATGGATAAAGTCATTCAAAGTTTGTGATTCCCAGTAACTGACATTTTGCTGCATACCAATGTATTAGGTGATAAAGCAAATATTTCTATCATTAGAATGATATAAACCAAAAGTTACCTTCAAAGCATAATCTTTGCCACTCCCAAGATCTTGAGCTTCATAAACAAAAGCAAACCCACCTGCAAGAACAGACATGAATGCTAGTTAAAATGTACTATTTCAACCAAGTAAATGAGTGCATGATTATTTTTTATTTCCCTGTTAGCAATAAATATAAACAATAGCTTTACTGTAGTTTGAGACGCTCACTCCAAACTTCCCAGGATCCCCACAGATGGATTAGAGAAGATTAATTCTCTCCAACTGCTTGTTGCATTAGCAGCTCCTCCCTGTACAGCATAAATATAGATGGGTTGGCTACTAGGGCTGTGCGAAGCTTAGAATCAAATTGGCTACCGGAGATTTGGCCTGATTTGGGGACCAAATCCAAATTGAATCAGAAGACCAAGTAGAAGCTCCGAATCGATTCGAAGCATCCAAATCAATTCAGAAAAGATTAGGCCAATTTGGAGACTTGGCCATAGACTAAACAGGCAGCGGTCAGAGGCCTCCAGCTGGTAAATCTGTTAGGGTTGGGGGAGGGACGGATTGGTGGGATGCAGGCAAGGCTCACTCCAGGCAGAGGGGGGCAAGCAGTGGCAGCACATACCTCCTGCTCCCAGTACTGCCATGCCTGCATGCCATGCCCTCCCACTCCCATCACCCCTAGAATGGCTGGCAAGCAGCAGCAGAGCATAGGCCCTGCTCCCAGCCCTGATGCAGGCACAGCAGCACTGGGAGCAGGGGCTATGCCCTGCTGCTGCCCGGAGTGAGAGGTACAGGCAGGCACAGCTGCAGGAGTCACACGAGAAGCCCCCATGGCTGCACTGCCCATCCCCAGCCTCCTGGCACTTGAAATAAAAACACCAAAACCAAAAACGCCCTGTACTCACAGGCTGCAGGAACTGTAATCGGGGCCTCTGGACACTCATGGCAGATCTCTCCCGCACAGCGTAGGGCTGTGGGGAACAGCAGAGATCACCACCCCCTAGCACTTGCACGACAGATGCCCCATGGCACAGGTGCAGCATGGCTCAGCAGGGCACGGTGCACTGCCCCAGAGCTCCTGATTTGATCCCCAGCTCTCTGATCATTCCTCCAGCTCTTCCGGACAAAGAGTAGGGAAGGCACAGCCCCTGGATCTGCACATGGGGTTTCAGCAGAGCTGGCAGCAACACCTTGCTGTCATCCCACATCATCTGGGGGCTCACACCCCCAGGAAGAGCTGGGGAGGGGAGAAGATCGGGGAGCTGGGGAGAAATGTTCTGGGACCTGAACATTCCCCCAGCCCCCCATTCAATTCACCTGGGAGCTGGGGCAGCTCCACGCATCAGCCAGAGCCTGGCAGCGCTCAGTCCCAGCAGCCCCAGCTTCCACACAGCGCACAGCACCCTGCCAAGCTGCGCAGCACCCACACTATGGGGCAGCTGCTGCGCAGGTGCCAAGCTGGGGGGGGCAACCCCTGCTGCCCCCCACTATGTGAGGGGGGCTCTGCCACAAGCACCCAGAGGCCCTGATCACCACCACTGCAGCTGGTGAGTGCGGGGCTTTTAAGAGCTGGGAGGCTGGGGTCAGGCAGGGGAGCCATGGGGGCTTCTCCCATGGCTCACCCAACCTGGGGACAGACTGACAGCTGGAGGAGCCACAGGAGAACCTGCAGCTGCCTGGCTGATCCGAATTACTGAATCAAAACACCAAATCTTCTGAAGCCAATTCCACCGAATCAATTCAAGGCAGTGATCTGAACAGAATCACCGTCCTCCAAAAAAGGCCAAATCTGAATTGAATAACTTCCCTATTCGTACAGGCCTATTGGCTACCATACCAAAATCTGAAAAGCTACAGCATTGGCAGGCTGTCCTTTTCAATAGAGACACAAAGTGAACACTTCCTAGAATTGTAAGTTTCGGGAAGCTGAAATTGACAGAACTAAGATACCCCAAGGAAGTTCACAGAAAAAAAATCACTGTGTTCATTGGAATGTCCATTTTAAAATAGCTTTTAGCAAAAAATAGCTTTAAATAAAAATAGTCTACAAAATGAGACTGCTGTCTTTTGAAAATATTTTGATCAGTGCTGTTGTAGAGTGACCTAATAACCATTTCCTATCTTTCCATCAGAAAGATTCTTTTAGGATACACAATGAGAAGGAATGCCTGGGGGCTGAAATATGAAGCGTTACCAGGACTACAATGAACTCTTGAAACAAGGCATTTATTTACTTTTATAAACAGCCCAACTTAAAAGGCACTGCTGACTGCTCCCCCAGCCCCCAAGCCATTTTGTCACTTACATGTGTATCTTTTATATCTGTAATATAGACCTTAAGCCTAGAATTCAGTACTGCAGACACAATATTCATTACTATTTTCAAGGTTATTGCAACTAATTCCACTCAACTCATGACTAAGTGCTTTTATATTGTGTATTTGCTTCCAAGGAAATGATGATATTTTTAGATATATAGGATAGATGACTGAACATACATTAAGAAAACCCAAGTAAGCATTTTGTTAACATTTAATAAATAAAACTCTTAATGACTTGGCATATTACGAGCTTTTAAAACAAGTTTTCTAGCAGCAGTTCCCATGTTAAAATACTCATTTTTTGAAGTACTGAAACCTTTATAAAAGTTGCACAAGCAATAATAGTTGGTTATCAGGATGCCATGTCATCACTGATAAACACAGAAATTTGAGGTTAAAAGCCAGTTGCAGTTATGAAAGTGCTTCAGAGCTCTGAACAGAAACAGCTTTTAAATTAATAGGAAATGACATAAGTGAGAGTCAGGAGCCTGCCTAGTTTCCTTATTTGTTACCTGACACTTATGTACACATGCACCAATACCAAGTTATCTGTACTCATCTAATCTACTTTGGGAGAATTTGTACAGTGTCTGTGCCTTCCATGGATACCCCAGCAGCCAAAAATATAGATCAGGGGTCAGCAACCCCCGGCATGTGTGCCAAGCATGGCACGCAAGGCCATTTTGCTTGGCACGCCACTGCCAGCCTGGGCTCTAGGCAGCTGCTGCCAGCCATAAAGCCTAGGCTGCTCCCAGCAGGCAGCTGGGAAGCTGCAAGCCCTACTTTAAACTGCCCAAGCTCCGTGGTTGGCAGCAGCTACCCAGACCCTGGGCCAGTTGCAGCCAGAAGGCTGCAAACAGCTGTTCTGGGCTCTAGCATCAGCTCCATACTGGCAGGTGCACGTCCACCTCAGAGCAGACAGTGGGGGAGGGCCCTGAGGCAGCGCAACCCTGGCCTCTCCCCCGCTACTGGCACAGACCTGATGACTGGGCTCCAGAGCCCAGTGCAGCTGTTTGTAGCCAGCTTGGGCTCTGTGCTGGGCTGTGAACAGCTGTGCCAGGCTGCAAACAGCCCCGGCATCAGCTCCATGCTGGCACCAACTGCATGGGCACCTCACAGCAGACAGTGGGAGAGCTGTGTTGCCTCAGGCCCTATCCCCAGCATCTGCTCCAAGGTGCACATGGACCCACCAATATGGAGCTGATGCCAGAGCCAGAAGCAGCTGTTTACAGCCTCCCAGCTGCAGCCAGCCCAGGCTCTGGTAGCTGCTGCTAACCACAGAACCCAGGCTGCTTGCAGCAGGGCTTACAGCTGAGCCTGCCTGACTCTCAGCTGCTCCGAGCCCAGCCCTGGCCCCTGCACCAGGATGAGGCTGGCACTGCCTCTTGCCAGGAGCACCACACTTTTTCCAAACTTAGCTGTGCAGGGTGGGTGGGTGGTTGGGCTGATGGGCAGGCTCTGGGCTGGGACCTCGGCCAGCTGCGCAGCAGCCCAGGGACTGGCTCCCCAGGGAAGCAGAGGGGTCTGGTGGGACCAGGGCATTGTTGGGTCAGACTTTGTCCAGTGGCCCAGGAGTCTGGCTCCGTGTGCCCACGCATCTGGTTCTGTACATTTGTCTGCCTCCGTCTGGTTCTGTATGTCTGTGTGCACACATGTGTCTGATTCCAGATGTGTGTGCATGCATCTTTTCTGGGCGTGTTCTGGTTCTCTGTATGCATGTCTGGGTCTCTCTCTCCTCTCTCTCTTATTTGTCTCTCTTTTTCCCTCTCATTGCAACATACTCAACAAAAAAGCTGTGCGTCAGGAGCGAGGGGCACCAGCATGGGCAGGGCACCAACATCTCAGGGCTGCATAGCACCATAAAAAGGAGCGGAGGGAAACAGCTGCAGCTGGACCCACATCCTGGTGAACAATGGAGCAACTGGACCCACATCCTGGTGAACAAAGGGGCAGGGGGAGCTCTGATTTTCCACAATAAAAAAGCCAAAATGAAACACTTAAAAATATATAAGTATTGAAAATTTATTTTATTATAATGATTGATTGAGGCATTGGTAGGCTTCCAAAGAGCTTTAAAATTGTAGATATACTGGTAAAATAGTGTGTTCAATTGATACCTATATATAGTGGCATTTCATTTCAATGATGGAAAAATGCAGATGTGTTTCTTAATTCAGATATTTGTTTAAAGAATCCAAAAAAAAAAAATTTATTTATTTTTTTTTTTTTAATCGGAGAAAACTAGGATCCCTGCAGATAAGGAACACTGTGAAAGTATTTCATTCTTTCTACCATACAATTTGCTGTGCAAACAATCTAGAACTAGCACTATGCTCCCTCTTATCCTGCTGGCTTTGTTTGCAGTGCCAACAATAGAAATCAAGTGAGATGTGAACTGCTTAAGTCTCCCTCTGCAAGAGATACCTCTAACCCAAGGGTGGACAGTTATTTTGGGCAGAAGGCTGCTTACTGAATTTCGGCAAGCCATTGAGGGCCACATGACAGGCAACCAGGGGCAGATAAATATTCATTTTCTACATTTTTTAGGGGCCCCGTGGGGTGGGTAGAATGGCCTGGCAGACTGCATCTGGCCTGTGGGCTGCATTTTGCAGCCCACAGATAAAAAAATAGTTGGGGGCAGGGAAGCTGAGCCCTTGTGCCCCCTCAGGTAGGAAAGTCTGTTGGGGGAAGGGAGTGGGGATGGGCAGGGACTAACCAGGAGGGAGGGGAGACAAGCCAGGCCCAGGATTGGGGCTGGGGCCTGCTGCACC